GCAAGGAATAAACAGAACTTTCTCAAAAGAAGAAATTCAAATGGCCAGAAAACACATGAAAAATGCTCACCATCTCTAGCAATAAAGGAAATGCAAATTAAAACCACACTAAGATTCCACCTCACCCCTGTTAGAACAGCCATCATCAAGCAGAACACCACAACAACAGGTGTTGGCGAGGATGTGGGGAAAAGGAACCTCTTACACTGTTGGTGGGAATGTAGACTAGTACAACCACTCTGGAAAAAAATTTGGAGGCTACTAAAAAGCTGGACATCGATCTACCATTTGATCCAGCAATACCACTCTTGGGGATATACCCAAAAGACTGTTACTCCAGAGGCACCTGCACATCCATGTTTATTGCGCACTATTCACAATAGCCAAGTTATGGAAACAGCCAAGATGCCCCAGCACTGACGAATGGATTAAGAAAATGTGGTATCTATACACAATGGAATTTTTATGCAGCCATGAAGAAGAACGAAATGTTATCATTTGCTGGTAAATGGATGGAATTGGAGAACATCATTCTGAGTGAGGTTAGCCTGGCAAAAAAAACCAAAAATCGTATGTTCTCCCTCATATGTGGACATTAGATCAAGGGCAAACACACAACAAGGGGATTGGACTATGAGCACATGATAAAAGCGAGAGCACACAAGGGAGGGGTGAGGATAGGTAAGACACCTAAAAAACTAGCTAGCATTTGTTGCCTTAATGCAGAGAAACTAAAGCAGATACCTTAAAGCAACTGAGGCCAATAGGAAAAGGGGACCAGGAACTAGAGAAAAGGTTAGATCAAAAAGAATTAACCTAGAAGGTAACACCCACGCACAGGAAATCAATGTGAGTCAATGCCCTGTATAGCTATCCTTATCTCAACCAGCAAAACCCTTGTTCCTTCCTATTATTGCTTATACTCTCTCTACAACAAAATTAGAGATAAGGGCAAAATAGTTTCTGCTGGGTATTGAGGGGGGGGGGAGGGGGTGGAGTGGGTGGTAAGGGAGGGGGTGGGGCAGGGGGGAGAAATGACCAAGCCTTGTATGCACATATGAATAATAAAGAAAAATGAAAAAAAAAAAAAAAAAACTAAAATTCTCCCAAAACTAATGAACCAATAAAGAAATGGGCAAGTGAACTAAACAGAACTTTCTCAAAAGAAGAAATTCAAATGGCCAAAAACACATGAAAAAATGCTCACATCCTAGCAATAAAGGAAATGCAAATTAAAACCACACTAAGATTCCACCTCACCCCTGTTAGAATAGCCATCATTAGCAACACCATAACAACAGGTGTTGGCGAGGATGCGGGGAAAAAGGAACCTCTTACACTGTTGGTGGGAATGTAAACTAGTACAACCACTCTGGAAAAAAATTTGGAGGCTACTTAAAAAGCTAGACATTGATCTACCATTTGATCCAGCAATACCACTCTTGGGGATATACCCAAAAGACTGTGACACAGGTTACTCCAGAGGCACCTGCACACCATGTTTTTTGCAGCACTATTCACAATAGCCAAGTTATGGAAACAGCCAAGATGCCCCACTGACGAATGGATTAAGAAAATGTGGTATCTATACACAATGGAATTTTTGCAGCCATGAAGAAGAACGAAATGTTATCATTCGCTGGTAAATGGATGGAATTGGAGAACATCATTCTGAGTGAGGTTAGCCTGGCCCAAAAGACCAAAAATCGTATGTTCTCCCTCATATGTGGACATTAGATCAAGGGCAAACACAACAAGGGGATTGGACTATGAGCACATGATAAAAGAAGGCACACAAGGGAGATGAGGATAGGTAAGAACCTAAAAATAGCTAGATTTGTTGCCCTCAATGCAGAGAAACTAAAGCAATACCTTAAAAGTAATTGAGGTCAATAGGAGAAGGGAACCAGGAACTAGAGAAAAGGTTAGATCAAGAAGAATTAACCTAGAAGGTAACACACATGCACAGGAAATCAATGTGAGTCAATGCCCTGTATAGCTATCCTTATCTCAACCAGCAAAAACCCTTGCTCCTTCCTATTATTGTTTATACTCTCTCTTCAACAAAATTAGAAATAAGGGCATAATAGTTTCTGCTGGTTAGCAAGGGGGTTGGGGGGAGAGGGAGGGGGCGGTGTGGGTGGTAATGGGGGGGGTTGGGGCAGGGGGGAGAAATGACCCAAGCCTTGTAGGCACATATGAATAATAAAAAAATAAAAATTAAAAAAAAAAGAAAGAAAACCCATAGAAGTATTGTGTTTTTCCATGATTTCATTTCAAGAGAGAGAGTAGAGTGTGTGTGTGTGTGTGTGTGTGTGTGTGTGTGTGTATCCTGGCACTGGATCATAATGTAAGACAAATCTCATATTATGGGTCAAGGTCAATAAAAGTTGGAAGGTCAGTTTTCTAAGGAAGTTCCCACCAAGGGATTTTTAGTTCTACGTGGAAGCAGTGACTTTTGTATTGTTCTTGGAAGAAAGCAAAATCTACCAGGCGTTAAATGGGAAAGGTCATTTGTTGGCTAGAAGGCAGAATAGGGAAGGAATCTTGGGAGAAAGCCTGAAAATGATGGTTGGGCCAGCACAGGAGCAGGAGCAATTCCTGTTCTGGTGCCAGGACTGGGTTCAAATCCCAGCTCTACCATTGACAGACTGAGCATCTATGGTCAAAAGGTAGTGAGTAGCACACAGAAAGAATACAGTAAATAGTAACTACTGTGAACTCCTCTCTCCTCTTCTAACACCCCCAAAAGGGGTGGGGCTGGGAGGAGTCAGACCTCCACTGACTGGTTCAGAATTCATGTGAGAACAGACAAAACAGAGGAAGGAAGAGAAGAAAGGCACAAGTTCCCTCTGTTCATGTGTCAACAGAATCAACTAATTCCAGAGTTGGTCATTCCCTCAGTTGTCTGTTAAAATAGTCATTTAATATCTTTACATGAATCATCAGGAAAGAATGAGCGCCAATTTTGAAGATGCTAAAAACTCCTATCCAATTTGGGTACTGGAAGTATGCTCCTATGCGCAGAAAGTCTGTGAGAAGCACAGGTCACCAAGTGAGAGCCAGTGAAGTCATTATTTATTGTCCTTGAGACAAAAATCAGCTCAGAGACTGGAGCTCGTGTAGTCTGAGTTACCCACTAGTGTAAAGAATGGGGCCAGGACTGTTTTGTCCCCTTTACTGTAGCTTTGGCTCTGCAGCTCCTCTCCTTCTAGCAAGCTGTCTAGTAAGAACTGAATAGGATGGAAGAACTCCCTTTCTGGGATGGAGGTGTTGCTCAGTGGTAAAGTACGTGCCTAGCATGTGCAAGGCCCTGGCTTTGAACCCCAGCACTGCCACTCCCCCCCACCCACAAATAAAAGTCTTTTCTTACATTTATACCTTGGAAAATTGGAAATTATTTAGAACTAATTCTGAAAAATGGGTATTTTCTTACAAATGGTTGCCTGAGTTTCTCAGAACTCAAAACACATGTCTGTGGAATCATTTCCACAGTTCACAGGTGAAATAAGGGAAAGGGTGTACACTGGGGAGCAGAGAGGCAGCGTATAGGAATGAAAATGTCTCATTCCTCACCATGCAGCTTATTAGAAGGGTACTCCCAGACATTTTGCTTATCTTTCTGCCTATTACCTATCTTCTATACTATGTGAAGTTATACATGAAAGTAGCTGGGAGCAGAGATGGTCAATGGGCATTATGTCTCTAGAATGTTCTTGATTCTCCCGTGGACTCCGGGAACCTCACATATTACTGTTAATATTAGTGCTAGGGGCTAAATGGTGCTCTCTCTAAATCCATAGATTGACGATCTAAACCCCAGCACTTCAGAATGTGAGGATATTTGGATATGGGGCTTTTAAGAAGGTCATTAGGATGGGCACTAGTCCATCTGACTGCTGTTTTTGTAAGACGAAATTTGCTTACACAAATGGAGACACCAGGGATGCACATGCACAGAGAAAAGGCCACTCAAGGACACAACGAAGAGGTATCCACCTGCAAGCCAGGGACAGAGATCTCAGGAGAACCAACTCTGATAATACCTCAGCCTTGAATTTTTAGCCCTAAAAAAACTGTGAGATCTGGGAGCCTGTGGCTCACACCTGTAATCCTAGCTACTCAGGAGACAAAAATCAGGAGGATTGGGGTTTGAAGCCAGTCCAGGCAAACAGTTCTTGAGACTCTGTCTCAAAACAACCCATCACAAAAAAGGGTTGGTGGAGTGGCTCAAGGTGTAGACCTTGAGTCCAAACCCCAGCACTGCAAAAAAAAAAAAAAATCCTATTCCATTTCTCACAGTACCTGGCTGAGATATCCAATCGCCCTCTTCTTGTTGGACCAGAAGTCTTTTTAAAATAAACTTTCATCTTATCTGTTTCCTGCTTCAACAGTAAGACCTGGTGTTCCTCTAGATCTGAGCTTTCCTGCTGAGTAAAAAAAAAGAGTGTGCACAAGGGGGAAACGCTGAACAGTTCTCTTTTTTTCAAAACACAGTAAGAATGGTTGGAGGTCTGGCATGGAGGTGAACATCTATAATCTCAGCATTCAGGAGGCTGAGTCAGGAGGATCATAAGTTCAAGGCCAGCCTGGGCTACTCAGAGAGAGCCTGTCTCAAAGAAAAAAAAAAAGTTGTAGAGTGGCTTAGGTGGAGTGCCTGCCCAGCAAGTGCAAGGCCCTGAGTTCAAACCTCAGTATGTGTGTTGGAACACACATACTATGAGTTCAGAAAGGAAAGATGAGTGTCAGCAGTAGTGGGAAAGTGAGACTTGAGACTTGAAAATGAAACAGTTCAAAATTCACTCGATTTTTTGCTTATTTATCTTAAACGGACCTGTTTATTCTATAGTGAAAAATAAAACACTGTATTTTGAACATTGAACGTGTAAACGAAGAGAGACAGAGGCAGAGACAGAGATAGACCCAGAGAGACTGAAATGACCTGCTTGGTTGGTTAAAGCACATTGCTACTGCAGACAAGGTTAAGCTTTTCCTCATACCTTGAATCCCAGAAGACTTCCAAAACGTGTACTCTGAGTCACCAGGGCTCTGGGCAAGGTCAGCCGAGGGCAAATACTTGTGGTCCCACCAGCATGGTCCACACCACTGATGATGTGTAGGAGTGCCTTCCTGATCATGAAGAGCCTAGGACCCAGATGGCACACCCAACTGGTGTGGTCACAGACACCAGGAAGCCCAGGAATGGAGAAATCTCTGTGAGTAGCATTTTTGCAAACTGTTTCCTCTGTCTTTGCTCAAACTACCCAGGACTTGTTTTTTTTTTTTTAATGTTATGTAACTTCTTATTTCAAAACGAGTATTATAACATGAATCTATTTGGTATAGATGGATAATCTATTTCACATTGTAGGTTTTCTAGGGGCGTGTTCCAACTTCTGAGGTGGGCTTCTCTAAAATGAGATCAGGGGCTATGCTATCAGCTGGATTTTAAAATGTTAATGAAACATATGTAAATGTACATTCAAGAAAAAAGCTGTACATCCTGGAATGTGCAGCATCTAGATTTAATAGTGTGGCAGGAAGGCAGGGAGGGGGAAGAGAGATTAATGAGTGCTACAGTGAAACAAAGAAAAACCGGAGTCGGGGAATGTTAACCTGGGGTGAGACCAGAGAAGGGTCACCTCACCCCAGAGGTTAAAGCGGCCAATGAAATAACATGTGATTGTGTATGGGACAAGCTGTGCCCCCAATTTCTGTAACCTGCTCTAAATGGTATATAAGGAAAGCCCCCTTTGTTCTCAGGGCTCAGCCTTTGGACTTGAGTCAGCTGAGTCAATGCCGGCTTGCTTAATAAACTTGCTTCCCGAAAGCTTTGGTGTTCTCTCAGTCTGAGCCCTCCTGCAACAATAAAATTAAAAGACATGAAAGTAGAAGGAAAAGTATATGGAAAGAGGAAGAGAATCACAGAGAAAGGCAGGGGGACAAGAGAGGGTCATGGGGTGGTAAAATGGTCAAAGTACGTTATATAAACCCATCAACAAATGTACAAAAGAATAAAACCTACAAACACAGGCACTACAACAGTAGTGGTGCCGACCACTGGGAAGGAGGATTATGGGTAATTTTAAGTGGTCTTCTTATCTGTATATTGTAATTTTCTATAGCAAATACCTATTATTTTGTAATAACAAATGACTTAATAGAGGCTCACAGGGAAAATGTAGAAATGTGAATGTAGCAGGCTGAATCATGCCATTCCACCATAGCTCATGTGAATCCCTGGACCCTGTAAGTACTGGTTCTTTTCAGATGTACTTAGGTTACTTCCTTTACTTTTATTGTCTAATACTATTCCATTGTGTAAATGTGGCATATTTTATTTATCCACTCAACAGCAGATTAACCCTAGGACTGTTTCTACTCTTTGGCTATTACAAATAGTGCTGCTATGAACATGAGGGTACCAGGTTTTGTGGGCTCATCTCCATTTCTCTTGGTTATATATCAAGGAGTTGGATTGCTAGATCATCTGGCACATTTGAGGAACTGCCAAACTGGTTTTCACAGTAGCAGCACCATTTTACATCACTGAGAGTATGCATGAGGATCTCAGTTCTCCGCTCTTTATCATCACTTGTCATTATCTGTTGTTTTTGGGGTTTTTTTTTTTTTTTGAGACCAGGGCTTGCTGTGTAGGCCAGGCTGGCCTCAAACTCACAATCCTCCTGTGTCAGCCTCCCCACTGGAATTATAGGCTTATCCCATCATGCCCCATCTCCTGGCTGTGTTTTTTTTTCCAGTACTAGGGTTTGAACTCAGGGTCTACACCTTGAGCCACTCCACCAGTTCTTTTTGAGATGGGTATTTTTGAGATAGGGTCTCCCAAACTAATCTCTGCCTCCTAATCTCTGTCTCCTGAATAGCTAGGATTAAAGGTGTGAACCACCAGTGCCCGGCCTCAGTGTGGTTTTGCAACTATTTATTCTTGTATTCCATCCTTTAAAAAATAAACAGGTGATCAGATAAATAGCATAATGAAATATCTTTGATAAGTACAAGGAAACAACATGGCACTACAGTAGAGACTAATGTAGTAGTAGTCAAGGAAGCTAGGGAGGTGACATTTAAGCTGAGGTCCAAGGATAGATGGAACTAGATCTGAAAGTGCCAAGAACATTCCAGTCAGAGAAGACCAAGCATGGAGACCTTAAGGTGAGAAAGAGCTTGGCTAATTCTAAGAACTGAAAAAATGCCAAGTGGGGGAGTGGCATGAAATGAGGGGTGGAGAGGTTGTCAGAAGATGGTAAGGAGTTTGCCTTTTATCCTAAATGCAATGGGAAGCCACTCGAGATTCTGCACTGAGGGAGGCATGATGGTGTTTGTGTTTTAAGAGATTATATTAGCTGCTGCATTGTGAAACCAGTTAAGAAGTGATTACAGTTGTCCAGGTGAGATAACAGCAAATGAAATGAAAATGAAGAGAAGGGCTTTCATGATCTATTTGAGAACAAGAAGACTGGATGGGACATGAAGGGTGAGTGAAAAGGAGGAGTCAACAATGACATTCAAGTTTCTGGACTTACTGGTTGGGTGAAGAAAGGTGCCATTTACGGAGATAGAGCCAACATGTTAAGAATGAATTGGGGTTGGGGGAGGGGGCCCAAACAACGTATACACATGTGAGTAAATGTAAAAATGATAACATTTTAAAAATTAATGAATTAGCAGCCAGTACTGGTGGCTC